CGAAAGGTTCCGTACAGTATTACATGAACTTTTTATTAATATGAATTTTACTCTATATATGTAGTATATTAACTTCAATGATCGATTACGAACGTTAAAAAAATGTTTCTTTGAATTTTATTTCTTTTTATTATACGGTAATAGAAATACATACTTTGTGAAAATTTGAACTCTCTACCTATTACGGTTCATAAGATACAGCCCTCTGACAGACGGACGGACGGGTTCCATTGGCACCTTTCAGGCAGGGAACCCTGAAAAATGTATTTGTTGTAAAGTGTAGTTTTTTTTCATGTCGTAACAGCTCAAGTGAAATTCAAAAATAAAGATAACTTACTTATAGGCCTGCTACTACACTAGGCTGCTTTTCACACTTATATGTATCTCACGAGCAAAGTTCCGGGCAAAAGTAGTATTTCATACACAATAAGGTTAAAAGCTAAGCATGAGTCATGACCATCTGGTACTTACATAGAGATTTAAAGCAATTGTTAACATCTTAATTAATTTATGAGAAAAGGTGGTAAATTGTACTGATATTGTACAATACTCTAGATATAGTGATCGTATCGACGATTTTCATTTCTTACGAATAGCATTAAATCCAACATGATAAATTAAGTTTTACACTAAGAGATCGCTTATATTCTATATAGACTCTATAATTGTATTTTTCCCCTTGTACTATTTTTATCATGTAATAAAGTGTTAAAATATAATATATTGTTATCGTCAATTCAAGTTTTCATACAAATTTTATCAGACAAGTGAAGTCCACGCATCAGTTCTCATATCAACTTCTAAACCCTATAACAAAATCTTTCTTTATCCATCATAGAAGCAAATATGAGTTAGTTTTTATTCTGTTATTAACGACTCACTCTCGCTTCGTTCAGGTTCGTCCCTAGCTTGCTTCCACATACACACTTTCATCCCCATTCTCACCCCCTTAAGGGATGATTTTCCGGAATAAAACTATTTCACTCACTGAACTTTTCATATCATGAGATTTAAAAAAATCTTATTTTAGTAAAAACAATCTTTTAATTTTCTTCTATACAAAGCTTGTCCTGGCCATGACAAACACAAAAAAAAGAATTATCCAATTCGATGCAGTCGATCGGAAGTTATGCGTATACATACATTTCGGTAATTAAATTTTATTTATATAGATTTAAATGTTTCATAGGATTTGATTCTTTAAGGACACGCGTGAAGTTAGAGTATAAGCAAAGCAAGAACAAGTGACTAGTGAAAAATTGAAATAAGTCAAACAAATGGGTCAACATTCGCGGCATGTTATCCCGTCACAGCGTGACAGCCGTCGATAAATAATCCTTTACAATCGACGACAAATCGTGACCTGCGGTCGTGACGCATCGCACGTGTCTCGGAAGTTGCCGTCACGAATGCTATAAAGAGATAAGTTTTTGTTAAACTCAGATTTTTACCTGCCTTTGTACTAGCTTTAGTTACATAGTACATATACATACATACATATATACTTGTTGAGTTTGTGTGAAATATATAAATTAAACTATTCATACAGTTAAATCTGTCTGTCAAGATTCTGACCTTATATGTATAACTGCACATTAGTAAGCAAATAAAATTGAGACGTCTAAAACCATAGTCTCTCCCGTAACCATGATTGCTGTAAAGCATTCGAAACGTCGGAAATCAAAAATCAAACATAAAATATCAAATATTCGCGTAAATCTAAGAAAGTATAACTCGTAGGCTATTTGTTACTGGGACGCACCCGAGCGAACGAGAAAGTTGCTAGTGCATTTTAAATATAAACATTCCAAAAATAAACTGTCACCCGTACTTAATAATAATGCGTAATAATAAATTAGCGTCGTGGTAACAATCCGAAGGAATTAACTTTAACTATTGCAATACAATTATAAATTATTCTGCAGAACAATTTAATCTATCTATAATATACATACCTATAATAAAATTGAACTGAGTCGAATCTGTACATTAAATATTTTTTGGAAAATCTTATTGATATAGTTATTATTATCGATACAGAGGCCGAATCTATACGTAGTTTTTAGAATTTTTGTCTGTCTGTCTGTCTGGAAACACATCACGAGAAAACAACTGGATAGATTTTAATGTTAATAATAATCTAATAAAAATGTTGTATGATGATAGCTGGTTATCCGGCAGGAGACTTTTTACTGCGGGAAAATAGATATCTCACCTCTGAGAAATCTATACTAACCGTTTAAACGTATCTAGGGACGAATCCGAACAGAGCAAGCGTGAGTCGCTAGTAAATAAATAAATTCTACACATAACATATTTTTTATATATTTTTTAGAAATAACTTCGACATTCTATTTCGTAAGAATAATAATAATAAAACTATATCTACAAACCCTATACAGTATATGTACATCTATTCACAATTTGTATATCATAGAAAAACACCATAATATATGACGCCAGAGGGTTTCCAGTTCGGGAACACGGAAAATTTACTTTGCAAATAAAAAAAATATATTCGTATTTATTCTGCTAAAAAAGCACTCGTGTTTCACGTATTGTGATGCAGAGCAATGACCTGTCTATATAGAGATTTTGTTATTGAAGAGACAGCAGTAACTATTGTCGCAGCAATACGATCCAATTCCTTATTCGTATTGGGAATACTTCGTGAATAGTTTATACATACGTTGTTATAATTGTTTTCTTTCCGAATGCCCCAGAAGGAGAATACTGATTTTTACCCGACAATGCAAAAAAGAGGTAGACTTGAGTGCAGTGGCAGCCTTTTTGGGGTAAAATGCAAAATGGAAGTGCCCCCTTTGCCTATTATGAAAACGTGTGTATGTTGAAATTTCAAGTTGCTACTCTTATATAGTTGAATATGACAGAGAAAGTTTTCGAACTTCTCATGTTTTGAAATAAAAGAATCGTTTCGTCCCACTGGGACTCCCTTGAATCAGGGGCCCCATGTGACCGCATTGGCATAGCTAAACCACTGCTTGAGTGTACATTTGTTTTCTATTTTCATGGTACTTTTTATGCCATATATTAAGTTCCTACATAATTATCAAAACAAAAAATCAAAAATTACATTTTACTTTTAACGTGATTTTAATGGCGATGATTATGTCACTTAAGCATGTTATACGTCTTTAATAATAACAAATATTTTGCTATATAATGTCCTTCGGACCGAATTCGGTCACGGCGGCCTATCTCACTGAGACTAGCCAGGTGCACAGAAGATATTATAGTGCACAAGTGCACGCGCAGACACAGGCGCACTCTCTATTCCTGTCACTCTCAAAGTCCGATGTTACGATACTTCGACACGACCGATGAGAGTTAATGCGCAGGGTCGACGGCTTTACGTGCTTTCCGAGGCACGTGGGTGAACCACCGCACACATCCCATTTCCGGGCTACTACTGAGAATATCTTTACAACATCTAAACTCAGTAATTATACTTAAACCGATCTGGGACTCGAACCCAGGACCTCCGAATATGCAATTGTACATGCTAGCCACTAGACCACTAGGCAGTAGCAGGCAGAGGCGGCATAACTATGCTTTCTACGAACCTTTTAGATCGTACTTGTAAATCCTGTCTATCTCAAGAAGGCTAAGCTAGGATAACGCGAGCTCTACGAAAATCTCAAATTCTTACAACAGATGAGCTATTATATGCATATATAGAAAAATTAGATAATTTTATACAATATTTTCGCGTAAATCTGGCCATTATTATTGTTTCCTTCGATAATTCCTAAATACATTTTGATGAGAACATGTCTGTCTTACATACATACATACATACATACGTATATTTGTACTATTAGCTTTAAATAAATTCAAATAAGGTCTTGTAGAAAATATACTACATTTAAGACACCCATTATATTTCATTCACTCTTGTACTATTTATTCAAAGTATTAGAGTCTATTGAGACGGATATTCTAAAGAGTAATAGTAAACGGGATGGGTACAGGCGCGTACATCATCTCTCCTCCATGTAAATTATTTTTATAAAATACTTTAAAAAAGTAACTTTTTAGTTTATAATATATATATATAAAATTAACTCCTTAGGGTGAACTAACTACTTTTAAGTTATTTTGAGGTATACTTTTTTATTGTCAAATATATGCATTTAATATATTAGAAAGGATATAGCTATATTTGGTAATTTTGTTATAGGTTGTATGTATAATATTACTTTTAACGGTAAAAGTACTTAATGTTTAATTAATTATAAGTGGTACCATTCAGTTATCTTTATATTCTAAATTTTTATATATCATATCGTGGTGGCAAGTTTTTACTATGTATTGGATATCTGTGGAAACTTGGTTGGTTTTAGGATTATTTTCATATGTTTTATAATGTAATTATTCATTGTAGTTTTTGTTTGCCTTAAAAAGCTAATAAATAAGTAAATAAAACTAAAGCTACAATTTTTTTCTATTCAGTAAATTCGAGGCAGTGACATATAGATTGACAGACACGCAAGATCACATAAAGTTTTCATTTTTCTATCGAATAAGTACAACTTAAAATTCGAATAATCTATTTTTATAGCTTTTATAAAATCATAAACAATAAAAATAGTAAAATTTCAATGTAACAATACACAAAGTGCTAAGTGTTACAAAACGCCGTCCCACAGTCCGCAGCCCATCGAGCCGGCAATTAACGCGGAGACCGGTGAAACACATCGCTAAACAAACTAATTGGTTGTTTTATTTGAATGAGAACACGTAAATTTTACAATATTACTCTTTAAGATCTAGTCCCAATAAATATGTAAAGTATGAGTTTTTGGGTCTTTTGATCTGTACCTGTAATTAATTAGGTTTAAAAAATACATCGCAAATAGTAGATAAGATAGAATTTCACGTTATTTCATGTCGTCAACTTTAAATTTCAAAATTTAAATAACTTACTCGTTTTTATCTTTTAATGATTTATTGTATTTATTTATTTTTCCTTTTAAGGTATGCTGAGATCTACATTTGACCGGCCAGACCACGAACGTGAGTACATACTTAGTTAACAAATACTTTATAGTATAATAGCTCTAGTTCAAAGTATATCCCTCATCATGTTAACACTAGAAATATCAGTTATTTCCTATCAAGGATCCAGGCCCTTTTGACTTCCCATTACTCGGGCCTCTCAAGAGGGGTATCAGCGTGAGTCCACCACGCTGGCCAAGAGTTAGTTGGCGGACAGCACAAGTCTTTTGAAAACTTGCTAGATTTTCTCAGACGTGCAGGTTTCCTTACGATGTTAACCTTTACCGTAACACAAGTGGTAATCATGTTGGAAATGATTCGTATATTAATATATCAGAAGTGCTAGATCTAGGATTTGAACCCGCTTCATTCAGTTTCCCAAGCGACTACGATACCACTGGGCTACCACTATCTATCAGTTATTTATCTCACGTTATTGTAAAGAAATAAAATTAGTTTATTTGTTTACAAGGAATACTTTTATGGTTCAGTTTTAGTGACAGACGAATTAGCATTATAAAAAATAATAATATGATTACCAAAGTCACTTTTCCGCGCGAGTACCGCGAATGAATGAAAGGCTATATAAACGAAAATGTTGACGGTTAACTAAACTCGTAGAAAGCTCTATATAATAGGCGTCAATTTTTTCCTTTAAGCTTGTATTGGGAAAATCCATCTCGCACCCTTGTACGTTTGTATACGTCTGTAGACTTACTGACTGAATAGACATTTACCGCTATTTTAATTATTGAGTCTAGATTTTCTAGAGATTTATATTTTAATTATGGCGTTTGATAAAAAATATTATCATTATTAGAAAAGTATTAAAGATAGACCTAGTACAAAATCGAAGCGTCAGAGGAGTCATAACTCGTAAAGACATAACTCTATGTTAAAAATATAGTTATTTCCAATAATATAGAAGCAAAAATGTTGATTTTTATGTTATTTTCCTTAAAGTATTTAAAAAAAGGCTTCATAAGAGTATATAGTATACTCGTATATAGAAAACCTATACATATAATAAAATTGTAACTAAGCCGAATCTGTACATTGAATATTTTTTGGAAAATCTTATTGAAATAGACATTATTATCCGATCCGATCCAAATCAGACGCCGAAAGTTTTTAGAAGTTTTGCCTGTCTTTCTGTCTGTCTGTTACCGCATCACGAGAAAACCACTGGACAGATTTTGATGAAATTTGGTATTATGATAGCTGGTTATCCGGGTCAACATATAGGATACTTTTTACCGCGGGAAAATATCTCAGTTCGGAGAAAAATACAAAAACCGCAATGTAAGAGTATACTAATATGTAAAACCTAAGAATTTGGTTTTTGGTCATCTGAACGCGGGCGGAGCCGCGGGCAATGCTAGTAACATATAATAAACGACTTTCCAAATATTCATGTACTGTTAGTTCATTCGTCTATAATATTCAATATCTAGCAAATCAATTTCGGGGCGTTCTCGAAACTTTACCATTGCGTCGTCTCAGTTTAACGCAGACAAGTACACGTACCAACTTTGTCCTCAACTGTATATTTCGCATTAAACTATTCAAAATGCCGCTAACTTACTCAATAACGTTCTTTCTACTTCTTTGCTGTAAAATATAAATTAATATATAAATATAAGAATATATTTTTATTAGTGGTTTTTATAGGTTTTTATATAAGATTATTAGAAAAAAAACAGCTTTCCTTATAATTATTATAGAAAGACTAGAGACTCACCCGCGCTTTGAATTCGTCTCTAGGTTGCTTCCCCACACAAACTTTCATCCCCATCTTCACGCCCTGACGTCAAGCCCAGAGTCTCAAAATATCTTCTTACCAAATTTCATATAAATCGTTTCAGCAGTTTCGGAGCAAACAAAAAAATCTTTTCTCTTTATAATATTAACAGTAATAATAGATAAAAGATAAGTAAATGAATAATAATAGTATATATAGTATAGATTATTCTTTACTAAGAATAGTAAATATTGCTACATTTAAAAATAAATAATATTGCACCATTTAATAACACCAAAAATTAAAATTTATAGAAACACATGTGTATGTGTATACAGCCCTTTTTAACGTCCCACTGCTGGGCACGGGCCTCCCTTCAGTACGAGGGGGATCAGGCCATAGTCCACCACGCTGACCAAGTGTGGGTTGGCGGACTTCACATGTCTTTTGAAAACTTACTAGGTTCTCTCAGATATGCAGGTTTCCTCACGATGTTTTCCTTCACCGTTAAGACAAGTGGTAATCATGTTGGAAATGATTCGCACATGAAAATATCAGAGGTGCGAAACCCAGGATTTGAACTCGCTTCACTCGGTTTCCCAAGTGAGGGCGTTACCACTGGGCTACCACTGCCTTTATAGAAACACATATTATATTAGAAAAAATCAAGTACCTAAGAATATAACAAAAAATGTCGATACCCACCAAAATGTCACAACTAATAAACGCGAAAATTCATTTTATACGTAACTACACCGACAGTAGTTAACTAACGCAACTATAATAGCGACTCATGAAGCCTCCAGTATAACCATGTAATATAGAATGCAGCATCAAGGCAAGTAGCAAATTCGCATCAACTATTTACTCTCTCATTACACTATAACGGCCAAATTACGTTAGAAGCGATTGTTTACTAGTTTGATGGCAAGTTAGCGATTTTCGCAAGTTCGAGTACCCTGTATGAACAAGTTGGGACGTTCAGCCGCAAATTCAGGTGGATTAAATTAAATCACACTGTATCTGTTAAAATATATCTAATACTAGCGACTCACCCTCGCTTCGCTCGGGTTCGTCCCTAGCTTTATTCCCTATACAAACTTTCATCCCCATTTTCACCCCCTTAAAGGATGATTTCCATGATAAAAAGTATCCTATGTCCTTCCCAGGGTCTCAAACTATCTCCTTATCAAATGTCATCTAAATCGGTTCAGTAGATCCAGAGATTAACCCCCCTACAACGTCACAAACGCACAAACTTAGAATCTCACAAACTCACCAACTTTACCACTGTAATATTAGTATAGATATAAATATCTCGTGTCAAGGGTTTTGTGGTCGCACTTTTCCGAAACGGCTCGACTGATTTTAATGTTTTTTTTCACCTTCCAGCCACCACAACTTCCCAATTTAACCCTTCTACCCCCACCCCTCCATTTTTAATCGCGATTTTACTATTTTTGTATAAACAATATTACATAATATAAAGCCAAAGAGTTTTTTTGTAGATTGAACGCGGGCGTAACCACGGGTTCTGCTAGTATTATATAAAAAATATCGGTCTACTAATATAAATGTTAAAGTTTGTTTGTGTATACGTATGTTACCTCCTTCACGTTAAAACGACTGGACGGATTATGATGAAATTTAGTGCACAAATAAATTAGTACATAGGCTAAGTTAGGCATCGAGGGCTGCTTAAGTTTAATTTATAGCTCTTTTTACTATTTAGGTAGTAGGCTAATTATGTGTCTAATCTCACTGTAAGCACTGATTATTACGACGGAAGTCGTGTGTTCGATATTGGGCTAATGAAATAACTCCTGATATCCATAATCAAATGGAATATGAAATCAAAATATAATTTAATGTATTTTAGTCAACTCATGAAACTTTTAAGATAGTTTAAAAAGTCGCTCCAACACAAATTATGTTGAAAAAATTATGATATAACCATTCAATAGCCAGGTCTAGTCATTTTTATCCTCAAAAGATTTAATTTCGTCTTAAAAAGAAAATGTACAACAATTTTTCGATAATCTGATATTATAATTAAGAGTAAGGCGTGTTATCGACAAATTTTGTAAAGAGCTACTTTCTTCTTTCATATATTTTGTTAGAGCATATTCTGAGACATCTTAAACATACATGTGTTCTTCTTAATACCGTACAATGTACTTTCTACATGCATATATATAATATACTAAATATGCTTTTATAAGATACAAGCGACTCACCCTCGCTTTCCTCGGGTTCGTCCCTAGCTTGCTTCCCAATACATACTTTCGTCCCCATTTTCACCCCCTTAAGAGATGATTTCCGGGATAGAAACTATTATATGTCTTTCCCAGGGTCTCAAACTATCTTCTCACCAAATTTCATCAAATCGGTTTAGTAGATCCAGAGATTACCCCCCTACAACGTCACAAGCTCACAAACTTTACCTTACTTTATAATATGAGTATAGATTTGCACTTCAAGAACTATACAAAAATTGTAAATAAAGACTAACGTCTACATATATTAAATTTCCCTTATTATTTAAAGAGAATAGTACCATAAACAGCAAATCACGCTACTATTTTCGACTTTGACATTTTCTTAGCGGGCTCCGTCTATATACTTTAGTCTGAGGTGACTTACGATGCTAAGATTAAAACAGGCATTATCATTATACCTTTTCATACTACCATTAAATTTGAACAAGACCACTAGCTCCCAAAGAAATTTCTACTCGATAGAGTTTGAAATAGGTATTTTTAATTACGCTGACTCCTTCCAATTTTACCTCCATTTAATCAGAGTTCGCCTCCAAATTTCTCGCAATAATGGCTCCTTTATATCGAAGGTGATTAATAGATTCAATATTATCATCCTAAATACTGTCTACATAGGAGTATATTTGTTTAGGCTTGCGTAGTTTCAACAAGTGTTGTCATAAGCGCGGTCGGTAAAGTGAGCTAATAGGGCGAAGTACGTTGTTACTGTAAAAATAATATTTTATATTGATTTAGTTTGATATAATTTATATTTATACAGTTAAGAAATTATTTTTATTATTATTATCATGAAGCTAAAGGATATTTTTTTTTTAATTTTTTTTAGTTATTGACCAATATTAAAAAGGGGTATTTGATTTGTATTATAAAACTAGTGACTCACTGTCGCTTCGCTCGGGTTCGTCCCTAGTACGTTTTAACAGTTAGTATGGAATAAGAATGAGGAGTTTTATATCCCATAAAACTTTTATCCCCCTTTAGGCATGATTTCCGGGATA